GTCCGACAACCATGTCGGTACGCAATTATAATTTCTGAAATTAATTCATTTAAATGAATTTATAATATTCATTTCAACATCTTAACGTTCTGACCGTTATGGCGCTTCTTAATTTAAAGCATTATGTTTAACATTAGCGATCTTTCAATCTTATTATTATAAAACTCAAGTTATTTATCTCGTAAATTCTTCATTTATTTTAAATTAATAGAGAAATTCAATAAATCTGCACACACACACAAAACTGATGTTGGATATATAAAAATATTAGTGCTTGAATTTATAAAAAATTTTTTATTTACTCTTAGGGTGGTGGTGCGATTCCTGACAAGTTACAAGAGATTGAGTTAAATGTTTATGACCTAGCTAAATGTCAACAAAGACAGAGGAGGGTACAATCTAGTCACATTTGCACACTCACCAGAACAGGCGAAGGCGCGTGTCACGTAAGTATTACTTTTTATTATCCCAAAGATTGCTGCATAAACAAAATCTCATAAACGAAGGTAGTATTCATACCTCATTATATATCTCTTTAATGCATATGCATATAGAGATTTTAGATTCTAAGATATAAACATTAAAAATATTTAATAGAAGATATTAATTTGTGATTTTATTTATACAAAATACATAAAATTATAAATTTCAAAGTTATCTATTAAATCTATAGTATATATTAATAAAAATAATATATAATAGTAAATATGATTTCAGAAAGTACACATCTGCAATATAAGACTAAAATAAGTAATAATATCAGAACTTTAAACGTATGATAATTAAATGTGAGGCGTGAATTAAGTTAAATAAAATCTTGATTTATAATAAATAATTAAACGTTGTCTCTATTAAATTTTCAGGGAGATTCGGGTGGTCCTCTTGTTTCTAATGGTGTTCAGATCGGTATTGTCTCTTTTGGTACACCATGTGCTCGGGGATATCCCGATGTATTCACTAGAGTGACCTCTTTCACGAAATGGATCCAAAAATATACTGTCGAATAATAGAACAAAACAAAATATATCTTCATTTATTACATGAAACAATATTAAATAAAACAATATTAAGATATATATATATATATTTTATACACATACGTTATTATTTAAACGTATTGATATTTTTTTTATTCCACAAATATTGCATATTCAGTTCATAAAACGTTTAACAAGTTTAACATATGATAAATAATAATTATAATTGTGTGTATATAAGAAAGAGAATTTGAAATAAAAAATTTTTTGATAATTGCTCAGTGTATAAATTTTTATTTAAAAATTTAAAAAATGTTTATGCGTTTTATATTAGCCTAAAAATATTTTTATTTAAATGCGATAATTATTTGAATAAACACATTGCTTAAATAAAACATTCAAATAACGCTTTGATCATCAAGTCAATTTCAATATAAATTATCTTTTTGAAAAGCACAAAACCGAAAAATATCCAAATATTTATAAAGCATCTGAAGCCAGATTACGAAATATCTAAACATATACTAAAAATATATTTATCACAATAAAAAAAATTAATGTAAAAATATATATTATTTATCAACATTTATTATTTATTACTTATATTATTAAATTTTTTAATATTTATTTTAAAATAAATACGTATAAATACGTACAAATAAAACTATTATTCTCTGAAATAATGGAACCCTTTGAGAATGAAACAAATAAATATAAGGAAAAAAATAATAAAACAAATAATTATAATATGTTTTTAATAAATCTAATACATTATTTTAACAATATTTTCTTTATATTTTTATATAAATACATAATAAAATAATTTCTATTGAGATTAATAAAGTTGTTACACGAATTAATAACAAAAACCATACAAAAATTCACGTGTCACCCAAACGTGAGTGGCAAAGCAGTCAAAGTACTCAATATAATATTCATGATTTAAATCAGTATTTATTCTCGCAAATAACTTTTATATTAAGATATTACTAAACTTTTATTTATTTATGTTTTATTTATTTTATTTTAGTTATTTCTTATTTACAAATAAATTTTCTATTCTTAATTTTTATTTATAAATTTATTCATCTGTAGCCAGATTTTATAAACAGATTTGTAACTCTTTATATTGCAAAATTCATATTGACTTTTCTAAACGTATAATACATTTACATTAACAATATCGTAGACTCAACTATGATCGGATATAATAATCGATAAACGCAAATCAACTATAAGACTATGTGTACTTTATCAGATAATCCAATAAATCCCAATTGTTCTAAGAAAAGTGATGTCAGCGAATACTACAAATTTAATTAGAATTATTACTTTTATCATTCAATAAATAAAATGTAAAATATAAGTAACAATTGTAGAAAATCAGGCAAATAAGAGTAATTATAATGCACAAAACTTACATAAATTTATAAATAAATTATATTTGATTTGTTTTACAATTTGAACGTTTCGGTCACATTTGGGGTCACATACATTCTCAGCGAAGTACAAGTATTAGAAAAAAATCTCCACACTCCCATCTATCAGACGAATCCTCACTTAGTTGTATAATTCTGTTTCACCGTGTCAAAAGCCTATTATTGACAGAAATTTGCAATGGCCTAAAAAGTATTAAGAATTAAGATGTGAAATAATGCCAGTCAAAGTAGAAAGCCTCACCTGAAGAACAAGAGTGCCATATACACAAATCACATAAGATTTATAATTTAGTAATAAGCATATCTACATACGATTACAGTTAGTGTCTGATTGTAAATTTAGACTATTTGTTTGTAATTTAATAAATATCATTCTGCGGACGTCAGACATTTACTCAAAAATCTTTCAAGGTTTGTTCATATCGTAAGCTCCAACATGCTCCAACGTGCTCCTATTATGCTCCTACTCACTTAACAAGCGCGTTGAAGTGAGTAAGGGCTATGATAGGAGCATATTGGAACATGGTGGAGCATGCGACGCGAACAAACCTTCAGTGTCTCAAAGAGATCTTCACATTCGACCAATCAAATTCGTGATTTTAATACAACCTATGATCCGTGATCACCGATTAAGAGGTAGTATTTCTATTGATGTGGTTCCTGTGTTCTGAAATTCTGATTTGTAATTTTCTCTCCATTTGACTCACATAAGTTGCATTACAATCATTACATGAGATTTGATATATCACATTTTTCTTTGAATTATTTGGAAGCGTATTTTTGTGAACTTTAATAAACCTACTCAGTTTGTTGAAACTATATAAAATGCTAATTTTACATTCAAATCTCTTATTATTCATAAATTTTCTGAAACCTTCTGAATATGAAATAGTGAGGATGGTTTTCCTTTTCCCCTATGACCGAATTCATATCAATATTTTGTTTTAAAGTTTAATTATAATAAAGAGATTTAACATTGATAGTCTGAAATATGAATTCTAAAAAAATAGTCATTATATTTAATAGCGTTTCAATAATAAAATTAATATTTTTGTTGTGTGTGGAATTTCAGATGAGACAAAATAAAGGCTCTATTAATCATTTCAATATGATAATTCCCCTTTTTTATTAAACCGATGCGAAAACATAAAATTTAGTTATTTTTCTGAGAAAGTTATAATAATTTGTGAAATCAATCAAATTCTAGGATATCGTCATTCTTAATAATTTTAATGTCCAAAAAATTGAAAACACTACTTCTGATTTCAACTTTAAATTGAAATCTTGGATGAAACGAGTTAAATGTATTAAGAAACACAATTAATAATAGAAATTCAACAGACTATACCGGTCGAAGCTAGATATTTTAATGCTTTTAAAATAATTCACATTGAATTATTTTAAAAGCATTAAAAGATCTAGCTTCGACCGGTATAGGCTGGTGAATTTCTATTATTAAAATTGTGTTTCTCACATTGTACGGTTTAAAAATAAGATTCATATTGAAATATATTAAGGATCTCGGTAGTTATATTAGAAAGAATAGCTGTGATAATATTGTTTACTTTACGATATCTGACGTAAAACGGAAATGAAAATCGCTCGTATTTTCCAGATCTTGCAAAACTGAGTCAGTAATCACCGAAGATAAGGAAAATCCCACCGGCAAACCAAAACAGATTGCTTGTATATATTATTATCAAACTAGACAAATGTCAAGTTTAGAACGAGTTGAAAAGCAGTAATAAATTTGTTTTTTGGGATATTGCAACCTTTAGAAATGTCCGACTATCTGCTAGAAATACTTTCCAATGCTAACTCAATCGGCACATTTGTGAAGAGTGAGATAACATCTAACGAGATTAAGATGTAATTTATGACATGTGTATCAGATAATAGTAGTAACGATACTTTATCATATGATACCGCATTGAGAAAAATTCAGGAAAACGTCACAAACGTATGATTTATATCTTTCTTGCAACTTCTTCAGAAACATATATAAACCTTTGAATGCATCTATTCACTTCAATACCAGGTAACAAATCTGCAATCAAAGATGCGTATATCCGCTTGTCTTATATTTATCGGCCTGGCATACGCCACTGAAGGTATGAATTTATCAGGAAATGAAAGAATTACTTTTCTGTTACTTTTACAGTTACTTTTTACAATAACAATTTCATAATGATGTTGCAATTTTTTATGACTAACTAAATAATGATGACTAACTAAAAACTGAAGTTATGCTAAGGAAAGTCACTTTGAAAAGTAAATTGTCACTATTACTCGTTACTTACTGAAACCTTATTATTTGTTATTGGAAAAAGTAACAAATAACTAGTAATGCCGTAAAGTTACTCCGTTACAAATTATATTAAAAAAGAACTAGTTACAAATTGCGAGTTATCTTTTTCAGTAACAAATGACTTTTTCAATGCGTGATAAGTAACTATTAATTGTTTCAACTCTGGTGTTACATGAGATTTGTTTTTATTCTTGCACTTTCTGAACTGGTACACACGGTACAATAAGTTGAAATGAAATAAATATTTGCCTCACTTTATATATAACTTATTGCACTGTATGCGCCAGTGAGTGCAGGAATAAAAAACAGATCTTTTATCAACATAAAACATTCGCAACATCATTATCAAATCGTTATTACAACAAAGCAACTATAAATAACTAACAATAAGTAACGGCATTTACAACTAGTTACTTCCATTCCCTGAGGAATTTATGTTATTATAACTACTTTATGACAAAGAAATTGAGAGAGAGAGAGAGAGAATGAAAGAAAAAGAATTAAACATATCCGATAATGTGCTGAATGTAACATCAATATATTGGTCAACATGTCGGGTTATTATATAAATGTATTATATAAATGTAATGCCTTTTCTAGCAGATATAACATTTATAAAATATAATCGATCAATCAATTTTATAAATGTAATCGATCGACACGCGTCTGTTATAGAAGGTAATCTGACATACTGATCAATATGTTGATATAACAAGTGGTACATGTATTAGCTCAGTGCTGGAATTTATTTGCAACTTTCAGCCGATTTTCAGTTTAGTTCCTTTGTCTCATTAATCCGCGCGCAGTCTAAATGCCGATCGGCAGTAAATTCCAGTACTGTATTTTAGTTATTACTTTTCAATATATTCAAAGTTTTTGTTAATAACGATTGTATGTCATTTATAATAAATTTTATCGTATATGTAAAAAAAAAACATATATCTAAACGTACTAAAAAATCATCAATAAATAAATAAATTAATTATAATTAATTATGTCAACGGAAAGTATGTGTACATCTCTTCGCATTCTTTAAATATGTGTAGTTTAATAAAAATTAATGTGAAATAAACAGTAAAGCTTTTGCTAGGTATAAAAAATTGCTATTTTAAATAAAACTGTAACTTCTCTAAACAACTTTAAAATTTAGTTATAAAATGAATACGATGTTTAATTGCTAAAGTTAAAAATGTGTATAAGATGTTTTCCAAGAAAAGACATAAATCAACACAGGAGTTATTCTATCTTTATTTGATATTCAGTGAGAGACAAATCGATTTGTATCTCCTACTGGAAAATTTTTATGATAATGTAACAGATATTATTTTGCATGTATTAATATAATTAATTTATTTTTGTTAATAAGGAGCTCCATCTCCTCCTACCGTAAGTAAGGATGCTTTTATCGAGGCTCCTATCGATATTAAGGATGTTTGTAACGCTCCTATAGGCAAATTTAACTATCAAGTGTCATTGAGACTAGAGAACGGCACGCATATATGCAGTGGATCTATTCTTGATGATTTAAATGTGCTAACTACAGCAAATTGTGTTTTTGAGTATGTTGAATATTCTGAATTTTTATCAATACATATACATTATTTTTGGAATGTAAAACTAATCTTATTTGAACGTATTAAATAGATACAGTATGTGAAATGTGTACGTATTCAATAAACAAACTGCCAGCAGATATAATATCTAAACAAATCTACTGATAACAAATTGATAGCAGATTTGCTTAGATATTGCAATAAATTCAGTATCATTTAGGTATTCAATTTATGTTTTGCTGGCAAAACTTAACGACATAATCTAACAGCAAACTATTAGCAGAAACCGAACAGAGAGAGAGAGAGAGAGAGAGAGAGAGAGAAAGAGAGAGAATCTGTTATTTCGTGAACATTTAAATGGAATACATCATTTAAACGGAAAAATGTGTTTAGTTTCTGCAATTAACCTACTATTATATTCTATTAGCAGCTTCTGTTATATTTCTATTGATATTCAAATTCTATTGATTTCTATTGATAAAATACATAACAAATACTTTCAAAATTTGTTCTTAATAGATATGGATTCTTAATATTCTTATATACTTTTTTATTCTTAGGTGGAAGTGTTCATTAAATAAAATACAGATCTATGCCGGCACAAACCTTTTAAACGAATCAAGATATATTTATGACATAAATAGTATTATCATCCACCAAAATTACGACCCGTATTTATTCGTTAATGACATCGCCTTGATTCACCTTAACGTACCCATGGGATTCAACGTACTAGTGCACCCGATAAATCTTCCAAAATCCAATCAAAGTTTCGAAGGCAAACCGTGCACGTTAGCCGGATGGGCTAAAACAGTAATGTCAAACTTGTGATACAGAAAATTTTCCAATTATACATATTCAGAAAAGAATTCTTTCTTAAAGTAATTTATTATTTTCTCTTTATATAAATGTAACAAGAAATTAGAAATAATAAGTGTAAGAAGATATTTTAATAATAAGAATTCTGCTGTTGTTATTAGTTGTTTGATGCTCGATGTAACAATTAATGCAATTTATATCCTTTCTAGAATGGACAGGAGTTGCAAGAAACTGAGTTAATAGTTTATAAGCAGAAAGAATGTGCGAAATATCATTGGCAATTGACAGGCAACAGCCATATCTGCACTTCAGCTCAAAACAGAACGGTTGTATGCCAGGTGAGCCGTCGATTATTAATATGATAAAACAAATCAATTATATATATTTTTGATAAAACATTAACAAATTAATAATATAAATGATTATAATTTTTAGTACCATTTTGTATCGTTTTGTCACATATCTACCACATGAATATTGTGTAAAAACATCTCACAAAAATAAAAAATAAATATAAAATTTTTTAAAAATTAAAACGCCAGACATTAAAGATAACGGTATAAAAAGCAAAAGTTATATGTTTATTAATAAAAATAGTTATAGAGTAGCAAAATAAAAGAAACCTCATTTTTCTTCTACTTTACTACGCTATAACTTCGTATATTCATACTTATGAGAATAAAAATAATAGGGGAGAGTGGTCTAAATCGGACCGTATTCTAAATAGGACCTTTTTAATTTAAATGAATACGGTTAAGCAGATTTGCGTACTATTTATAACGTAAA